GTAAATTCCATTTATATGAGTGATTCCTATACTCGCTCCAACGACTTAATCGATTATGGACAAGTTTCACTTACACTTAAATGTTTTGATATCTTACGGTGCGCACGGAAGACGATTTTTTTAAGTGCCCCGATCAATATGGCTGTGACCTGTGACAAATGTCCAAATCCTGCCTTTTAAAGCCTACTCGGCCTAATCTGGCTTCCTAATAGCATGGACGAGGGCCGTGATATCTAAGTTTAAATAAAGAGATTGAACGGAAGGATCGCCGGGTCCAGGAGCGTATACTTGGGCACATCAGTTACGGCGGCCTCGCGCTTGTAAATGCGCTTACTGATAGCCCGCAGCCGCTGACGAAGGGCAATAGCCGCTTTGGCTGTGCGCTTGTCCTCAGTGTCGGACAGGTAGATGTTTGTGAGCCGACCGGTCTTTTGCAGCAACGGGAAGAAAGCAAATCCAGTCCCTTGCGTGCCCAGGAAAAATTCAAGGGGGGTACCAATATCCATCGTCGAAATTTGCGACGCAGAGGTTTTGGCGGCGGAGGCCTGGTTGCCAGACATAGCGCCCGAGATGTACAATTGCAACATTGTGTCATCCGTGAGCGTGCCCGTGCTGGCCGGGAGAGGGGCCAGAATTTTCCCCGGGTGACTAGGATAGACCAACCCATATTCCAACAATGTATACGAATTGAGCGCGTGGTGCAACACGCCACCGATCCACAAAATTTGTGCGAGCAATTCACTGACATCCTTTAGGTTTCGCACTTCGGCTGAGGTTGGGAAACCCTGCAGGAATGCAAGTGAGTTCGATGAGTTGGTCAGTGCAGCAAGGAAGTCTCGGAGCTCTGGATCGCCTCGCACGGATCCGCGCTTCCTGTATGAACCTGCAAGATACTTTTTTGAATAGGTGCGTAGAGCTTTAAAAATTGCTCCGGCGTCATCACGATACAAATAACCTGGCACATCCGATACTCCGCGTGCTTTGAGATCCTCCCACAGGTTTGTGAGGCGCCAGTCAAATTGTTCCATGAAATATGGGAAGGAAAGTCCCGCGACAGAGCTTCCACTAAGAGAAAGGAACTCATTGAAGGCAGCGTCGGGATTCAAGAGTCCTGCTACACCGGAAAGCACGATTCCAAAGTCATTTTTTGCCGCATGCTGAATTGGCATGTAGAGGGGATGCTCGCTGGCCAGTGTCTTCTCCGCTGCGATTACAATATTATTCATGGCAGTATGCAGTACAAAGTGGTACACGAACAACACATCTCGATCCAAGCAGTTGAAAACCGCCTTGGCCAAAAACCAATCAGGATGAGGGTCTTGGGGTGACACAACGTAAGTCTGCTGCACATTGTACTTGATCGCCAGTGGCATAAGTACCATATCCTTCTTCTTCAAATTGTTCCATTTCATATTTTTAGTCGGACTGTCTAAAAAGAAGATGGCCGTCGGTGCTTCCAAGAATGAATTCGGCGAAGCCTCCAGAACTCCCCTCTGGTAGAGTGGGTAGTAATCCACAATAAAGACACGACCTTGGGCGATTAAGCTGGATAAAGACTCACTCCCTGTAATGGTGTTGTAGCCCGTCACATCCGCTTGCGTGAAAGGAATTTCGGCCACGTTTTTCACGAGCGTGAGAAATGCCGGCGAGGCGGTGAGACGCTCGCGGGCGAATGCCTTGTCAGAATCATAGAACTTGTAGGCGGCAGGCTGGTACTCAGGGTCCAGGGACTGGTAGAGAGGCAGATAGCTGTCAAGTGTTTCAAAGCACATGCCCGTCGAACTAATGTCCGTGCATGCGGTTGAAATGGGTTCCGCTATAGTCTGTAAGCCTATTTCAACAGAGGTGTTAATCTGCCCCAAAACGAAAGCACCTTGCGAAAGACGCGTCTGGTTCCCCAGGATGCCGCCTGGTGCCGCCATGGTCAAATTAACCAGTAATGGATTTTTGGAAGCATAAGGTACAAACTCCCAGAAAGGCGCTCTATAGCTCAAGCGTAGAGCGCGGCCCGCGGGGTCAGGGTCATCCTGAGGAATTGATAGGAATCCCTTTTTCTCTTCATCCGCGAGTCGTACAAGCTTTCGATTGCCTGATAGCTGGCCTTTCCTGTGTGTGTGGCCGGTGACAATGTTGCTGCGCGAGGCATCTGTCGCGGTGAGAGCCCCGAAGAGCACGATCCACAATGGTACTGCCAGGTACATGACTCGGCGTTGATGAATCATCAGGGGATGTAAGAGTTTACAGATGCCTGTTTGTAGAGATTTTTTATTTCTTATCTATATGAGATAACTGACTTTTCCAAGACGATACAGTCGAGAGACCGCTATACATGTCCCATGTGTTTGGCTAATCATTGACGAGAACCGTATACATTTTAATTAACGAGTCTACAAAGGTTCGCAGCGCACAACACGTTGCAACACGGAAGAGTGAGACACAGATAATCTATGCTTATCGTATTGGATCTGCGACAAGGTGTACCTTTTGGGACTTTGAGTAAGGGGGTCACAGGGGAAGCAAGCTGGTCAATACACTACGTCAGCAGAGTCTTTGTACGGTCGAACACTCGTCATACAACCAGCAGTATTGACTGGCTTGGAAGATAAAACTTATGGCGGAATCGGCATTCGGGACAAGCACTTGAAACGAGGAGAAGCAAAAGCAAGTGGAGAAAGAAAACGCTCAGGACACGGGGCGAAGGCGAATGGGAGGATGGAGGTAGAAGTGAGTTCTCTCACTCTCCATTAAGAAAAGATTGAAGGCCACAAGTCCTATACAAAGTTTTAAATAAGCAACCCTGTACCTCAAACGGCCGTCGAGAGGAAGTCAATCTACATTCAACGGAATTCTCGCCCGCAGCCGAGAGAGGAAGCAGAGCTAACGTCTAAATCCGTGCTAACGTCTAAATCCGTTGATTTTAATTTTTGAACTACACAAGATGAAAAGTAGCTTTTTGCTCAGTAATTAAACGCAAGTAAAGCTCTGTATCGTGGACCTGATGTTTCTGACTATGATTTGAAGGTGGTGTCTGTTGACATGCCGTTATAGATTCGACGTTGAGCTCTCGTATTGCCGAGAGAGGAGGTAGAGCTCAGTGACCGCTTAAATCCGTCTCAAAATTTGAATTATTTAAGGTAGAAAGTAGCCTTATCCTTGATATGCAACGCAATGGAAGTTCTATATCGTAAGGCTGATTGGTTTGCTATTTAGATGAGCTTCCAAAATTTGGATGGAATTGAGGTCTCGGCTTAGCTTTATCCCCCGCATCTACACGTCGAAGTTTGCCCGAGAAACACCTCAATCGAAAAGTTTTCCAGCTGTGTCTCCCTTTTTTATATTCAGTTCGAGTAGAATATTAAGACATCATGTCGTGTAATTATTTTCGCATTTCTCGATTCCGTCGAAGTAGTATGTCATCGATGAATTGACGAATACTGGTTCAGACTTGTATCAAATCAGTCTGCGTACGAACGGTAATCTCATCAATTCAATGCCAAAGTGACGGCCGAGCCCGCGCCATGACAATGTATTACATTTTCCCACTTCGATTCTAAGTAATTTTGGTTATATCTAACGAATCATTCAAATTCAAGTCCGTAATACTCTTCTCGAAAATTGAAAATTACATTCGGATTTGCATCAGATCACTCGGCATAGGAAGTAGATACCTTATATTTTCACAGTATTTCAATTTACACCTTAGATCCAAGTGATGACGCAGCCAAAGTCTGATAAACGTCAAAAGTAGAGCCAAACACTCTTGGGTGGTTGCTAAATGGAATTAGGTATTTGGCGAAGGAGCATGTGTGACGCGCGCTGATAGAGAGGCAGGGTTGTCACCCACAGGACGTGAGAGAATAAGTAAAAGGTAGGAAAGAGTCTTGCATAGCATGAGGCACACAGAGGGCGAAAAAGGCAGAAAATGAACCGAAAATGACCAAGGATCGAACTATATGGCTGGAGTGAGATTTCACCAAAAGCTCTAGGTATTGAGGGTGTCTGGTATGTAGAGGGCCGGAAATGATTTAAGGTGTAATCCAGATAACTGCAGTGGTCAGATCCTCGCAAGATGAAAAAGTTTCGCTAGACAGAGGTAGAGATATTTCTTTGTGGTAGATTTTCTTCAAAGCAGGGGCAGTTCGTCAATCTCTGCAGCGGACATCGACGACAACAACGACACGGAGAACCGTAAATTGCTGGCTGAAAATTCCCTTGCATAAGCGTGCAGATAGTGGTTACACCCTGATATAGTAGCGATCTTTTCAACCGACTAAATGCTGGCACGCAGCTTATCTGAAGCCCGTCTTCCGCGGCACGTGTCTCCGGGGTGTCCTTTGCCTGAAGCTACCATGCATTTCTTTTTCATGCCTGTGCTGCAACATTCATCTTAAAATATACTCGTATCATGCTAGTGAAAACGTCTTTAGCCCTCTCCTGAGAGTATTCAAAGAAGAAGCAGACTTAAACAGGCCTATTTGTGCGACTCAAAAAGAAGTTCATCAAGAGAAGAGAACTTAATCGATTCCGTTCCTCCGACCCGAGTAAATCGCCCCAAAGATATGGCCTTTCGAGGTTGAAAAATATAATGCGCGTTCACGTAATATGAGAAGTTTAAACCAAAGTACATCGCCTGCATCCTGAAGTTGCCGTCTGTGCCAGCTCATTATCCGAGTGGTACGGCAGCAGGGCCTTCTGTCACAATGACACGTCTGCGAAGACGCTTTTGGAGCACTGTGCTGCGCATACCAATTATCTCACACATTCACAATCGTGTCCCACGCCATGCCATTGACTGAGAAATAACATTGCTTTTGGCCTCCTCCATTAAAGTTTATAGGTTCGAGAAGCAACCGAAGCTTGCTGTTGAACCAGGCCATAAGTGCGCTCCTGCTCTTTCGTTCAGCGTGACGACCGGGAAGCTTCCATAGCCCCCACTCGGTTGTGCCTTGCCACTCCTCATTTCTCACCCCGATTCACGCACCGAACGACTCGTATATTCCACCACAGGTTTCTCAATGTCCTCTTCCCCTACCAGCCCGCACCATGTCACCCGAAATGGGGGCATGTGCCCCTCAAGTGATCCTTGTGATCACTTTTCCGAAGAGATTGCCACCCCTGCATCTCCAATGCCTGAAGCATCCCAATGCGCCGTCCTTTCCCCCGACACAAACACATTGGCTGACGGATCCGCCCAGCAAGGCATCGCAATATTGAATGAAGATGCCAGCGTGTCGGGTTTCGGGGAAGTGCAACAAATGGATGTGGACAAGGGAAGGGGGAAGGAGGAAGACGCTGTGTGCCGCGTTTGTCATACTGAAGCCGAACCGACCGAGGGCCGCCCACTTTATCACCCCTGCCTGTGTCGCGGCTCCATCAAGCACGTGCACCAGGACTGTTTGATGCGATGGCTGCAGGCGTCCAGCAACACGGCCAAGAAATGTGAATTGTGTGGGGCTTCCTTTGCCTTCACGGCCTTGTACGCGCCGGGGGCTCCGGCCCAGTTGACCTCGTGGGAGATGGTGCAAGGACTGATG